AATCGCAGTCGCGACCATCTGTTTATATCATGCAGATCTCAGAACTCTGTTTGTAACATGCTATCATCTCGTATTGAACCTTAACTGTCCTATTTTACTTTGCTCTTATTTCGTGGCAATAGCTTAGTTTCTAAGAATAATGGTGACAATAAGACTGTGAATTAATTCCCCCCCCAAAAAAATAAAACAAAAAAATGAAAATAACTTAACCAGTCTTTATTTCGGAAATTCTGAGAAGTGCTTATCTTAAATGAAGGAAGTACGGTGTCTTCTTACCATATCGATAAAAATAACTCTGACGTCATATCATGAGAGAATACGAAGGCCCCAGGCTCCGCTCTTGACAACAATTCCTCTGCTTCAGAACGACTAAGTTTAAATGGACTCCAGCTGGACAAGAATAGAAAGAAATAGTTGTTTGCTTTTTTTCCTAAACGACGTGGACTTTGAACCTTAAATACTTTTGTAACGGAAAAAAACTGTGAAACAGTTTCTAAGCAACTTTCGAAAAATTTTCCTTTCTAAAAAATTATGATTCATTTTAATTCAGTTCAGTAATGACTCTGTTAGTTTGCAAAACTATTTCCTTTGATTAGCACTATGCATAGCTTTTTGGTACACGTAGTAAACTTGTTATTTTTTCCAGAAAGGCTTTTTGGTACGTCCTTACTGGATTAAGGCTTTGTACACTAGTTCTCTTTAGACAAAGTTTTAATTTTGTACGTGACTTAGTTAAGTGCGCACTTTAAATCACTAAAAACACAGCTGCCCCATAAAAGGACGAATTTTGGTCATTAGCAACGTTCAGCAATGGATATTATATGTTAATCTAAGCTTTCTTTCCAAATGTCGATTAGAATATGATTCTGCGCTTCCCAGGGAAGATCCAATATTGAAAAGCGGCCATCACTTGCCGTGAAAGCGTAGGTCGTCTAACTTATTGCTATAGAGAGATCGAGTGGCTATTTTATGTTGTACTGACTGTTTATTATGGCTTACTGCTTTTGTTCAGCTGTACTTTAAAATTTGTGGGGCGAAATCCGTACGTGCAACAATCAAATAAACGCCAACGAACAGTTCTATACGCGGTGCCTTGCTGTCTAGTTATGCTACACAAGATTGATAACTTGGGGGATGGCGTATTCAAAATGAAGCACGTCTCCTCAGCTTTTAAATAAATTTTTGACTTCTTAGACTGTGAATGGCTTCCTGAAGTACAATTATTAAATTGAAAGACCACGTGAGATGCTATCATGTTGAACTGAAACTTTTATGTTTAAAAAAAATGGCCGTTATTGTTTTTGTTTCCCTGAAAGCTATTGTCTAAAATTTTAACTTTCTTTCGGTGAAGTCAAACCACGCTATACGGACACCACGTTATCACGGACCCTGCTTTGCTCCTGGGGAAAGAAAGCCGCCACGGACACCCCGTTAATACGGACACTTTCTATGGCTCCCTCAGTCTCCATAGTAACGAGGTTTCATCATATCTGTTATTTTTGGCTGCTTCAATTCTTATTTGTACGTTTGTGAAGAAAAAGCAAATCTTGAAACTGATACACCATGTTCGACATGTTTGTCAACGCCTGTTTCTGTCGGTTTTACGTAGGAAAAAGGTTTACCTCAAAACTTTTAAATAATCAATTTGGTAATTTCTACAGTAAAACTGTAGACTGCAAAGAGGCAGCTTTGTAAACAAATGGAGTGGAAAATATTTTTGAACAATGCGTCTTTTTTATGTTTTCTCATGTGCAGGGTCTGACTGTTGAAAACGTTTTAGGTCCAGACTATAATACTTCAGTATTAAATGGTGTAGCTTCTAGCCCTCACACAGGGCAGATTAATTTCGCTAGCATAAAATTTATTGCTTAGCTTTCAAACTAGCCAGATGCAAATCTTTAAGAAATGTAAACATTAAAACAAAAGAATAATCGTTGGAAATTAAAGTCACGGCCGCCTATGAAGTGGTTCGGAGGTTTCACCTAAATACCTTAAAAACAGACCTTTGAAAAACTTTTAAAACTGATCAAAGAACTGCTAATGATTTGGATCATATTTTACCATGTTTATCTGAACGTGTCAGTTGAATATGAATAATTTATTTTAAACCTAACGGGAGATCAACAAATAAAAAAGATAAAAATCAGCCAGCTTAAGAAACCAAAAGAAATCGTTTTGCAAATTCATTTTACATGTAAACGAGCTGTGTTATCATCTGTTGAAGGCCAATACAAAATAAACTGCTGTTTTGTAGATATGAGAAATTGAACGACGTGCCAGAGATCATGAGAACAAGCTAACAAAATCTGTACGAAGATTTGTCTTTCCTAAGGCAAATGCAAAATTATACACCCTTATTTTGCTTCAGTTTTCGCTAATTAAAGCAGTCATCATCTCGCCAACGCATCTTTCATCCCCTTCTTTGACGGTCTGAAAAAAGTGTCAACACACTAGTGCATATTTTATGAGAGAATAATTGACTTCGGTGGCGAAATAACCTTTTTCTGTCTTTCGCGCGCTTAACACCTGCATGCGATGGCGGTCGTACAGCTATTACAAAAAGGAGGGTAATGAAAATTAGGCGAAAAACTGAAATTCTCGCGGCGTGTTTAAGGCTTTCTTCTCGACCTGGATTTATATAAAAGCCTTATAAAATTTATGGTATACTTGTATTGCAATAAGTACCGAAACAAGTCACTACTTTTAGTGATATTTAAATTCATAAGCTGAGTAAATTGTTTTCAAGCTACTTGGCATAAGAAAAAGCAAATTAGCATGCGTATTCGAATCGGTTCTAGAGATAACTTGGAAAATACTGACTCGCGTTCGTTTTAGTGAAAGTAGTCGTTTGTTACAATTCAAATGGAGACTCCGCTCAAAATTAGCTTTTTTGGCAACTAAGCACGCTATTACTTAAGCCAATGAAAGAACGGAAAACGATCATGAAAGAATCGCTTTGATCATAACATGAATCAGCTGTTGCCTCTATCTCATCCAATCGCCCCACCAGTAACAGACGTCTTTATTTTCATTTTTTCCCTGCAAATTGCCACCTGTGTTCAAATGACTTATGTGGTCGAAATCTTTCTATCATTTATACTCGTTTTGATGCAGTTAATTTTTTTGCTTCATCCGAGATTTAGATTTGTTGTGACGAATAAGAAATTTTTTGTACCTGGCACTCAGTGATTTCGACTTAACTAAGGAATGAATTAAAAAGCTCGTATGATGCATTTCAAAATAAATGTTCGTCAGTGCAACCTTATGCTATTGGAAAACGAAAAAAATTTACATCAGCGATACTACAGCAAATATTTCATCTTATCTCTGCTTCCTAAGTTGAGAGTGGATTTGTTTTTGTTCAAAACAAAACCTTCGGGTCCGAAGAGAAGTCTTTCATTTTAATCGCTGCTACATTGCGAAGACTGAAATCTCACAGTAGGGGATGCTTACCCTTTTAAATGCGAGGATTGGGTGCCAGTATGTCGGTTCGGCTCTTAAATAAAAACATCTTTTAATAAAGTTAGATGTATAAGAAATGTTTTACTTACATTGTGGCCTCGGCTAGCGTCTTAATCGTGGATCCAGTTGCCGTAGTTGACGTGTTCGAAGCAGAACTTCGTGCTTCTGGTTTCCAATTCGCACTGACTACCACGACCGATTTTGAACAGCCAGTCCCCATCTGCTTTTCAGTATTCTCTCTGGAAAACCTTCATTATTCAGCACGCATTGCCTTCTTGAATAAAACACAACAGAGGGCTCTTATCGCGTTTCATCTTTTGACTGCCGCTTGAAGACGTTTTCCCTTGTAAAATCAAATGTTGTACAAAACTCTTGAGTTGAAAACCGGCGCCGGCGTTGTCGGGCTTATAAAGACTTGTAGAAAAGTGGAATAGATCGGAATTTGTCGGGATCGATTATAGCAAATGCCCAATCTTGTATTTGTCTTCGCTAGGAACGTGTACAACAATTAGGTCTTGATATTTGCATTCAGATCGAACTGAATCAGATTCATTTTTTGCGAGCTTTCTATGAGGAGGCGACGTCGGCAAAATTACAATCAAACGCCGGGAAACTTTCACGACGGAAACGAGCAAACGAATCGAACGTTTGAGTAGATCGGATATCGAGTAGAAGTCTGTTTTGGGACCACCTTTATTAGCATTAACACAATTTCCATAGCAACGTATTAATTTGAAGTGATCTCCGACAGAGTGAGCGCTAAACGTTAATTAAAATGAAATTTCAAAACAGAAAATTCGTCCGCAGTTTGAGCGGGGGTTTCAAAACTCAGATAAGAAATAAATTGAAATTTACAGTGATCGTCAGAACTCATTTTTTGTGATAAAAATGGTTAAAAAAGGCTTCCGAGAGAAATCTAAAGGTCGGCGATGAGTGAGAATTGAATAAAACAAACAACAAAATCCACATGTCGAATATCTTGCATACTATTGTACAAACTGTTCTTAACCTGGGGGAACAATAAGTATATTTACATAGGGAACTTATAAATTAGAATTGCTAACCAAAAGATGCCATAATTAGGAAATACTCCCTACATTGAGAGCGGAATGCGGCAAAATAGTTAAGGTCCTCTGAGCTTAAAAGGATTTTCGAAACGTCTCCCCGGCATCAAAATCCGAAAGTCACCGGAAATTTCAACGATTTCCGATGATTTCCGAATATTTCCGAAGAGTGCTGTGAAGTCAGGGGTTTTCAACTGCAGCCTCACATTTAAGGTGGTTTTCTCCGTACAAACTGTAAATCCTTCATTTCACACTCAGCCCCATTCACTAATACGAGATATCACTTTTTACAAACATAACCAACTTTTAATATCAATATGTGACATCGGCGTGAGTATCGCTATACGGTAACCCACTCCATACTCTCCGGCATAAACAGTTTGAGAGGTCAAAAAAAGATCAATCGGCTAAATTTTCTATCAAAACTTTATTCTGAAAAAGAACATACCCTAACAATAGACGTAAAATAAATTCTTTCATGAAGATTGACGTTTTACAAAAAATTATTCAAAAAATTATTCCTGTGTTGCTTGATATATAATAAAAGACGTGGATCTAGGATAAATATAAAATACCGACCGATTCCGAAACGAGCGCCGAAGGTGCAAGCTTTTAAGGGGGGTTCGGGGAGAGGCTTCCCCAGGAAAATTTTTTGGATGTTCACTCCTTTAAGTACCCTTTCATGGGTTTCCGAGTCATTCAGACAGAATATTGGCCAGACTTCAATAAATTGGGAGGTGTTTTTTATCATAAAAAATATATTTATTATGAAAAATCTGACCGATTTCCGTAAAACGGTGAAAACTGGTGTGGATCCACGCCTGAATACAGTTTGTTTACATGAATCTAAATTGGATCTAATCATAAATGGCAACGAACGTTTAGCTTTGCAAATGAAGGCTACGGATTCCGACTTAACTGCAAGAGCACTGTTGAATGCAATGCAATGCGTGTTGGCTATGTTTTTGAATCGCGTTTTTCAGCGGGAAAGATATAAACGATTTGTACAATTTTTGGCATCCTTAATAAAAAATGGTGGAGCTAAAAGAAAATGTTGTTTATTTTCTTTAGGTATAAAACCGTTTGAGATATCAGCATATATGTCCACAAAAAAAGGAAATAACTTCAAAATCCTGGGATAGATTTTTCCATAACCTAGCAAAATGAGCCTCAGAGATCGCTAGTTTTATCCTCTCTTTTCGGAACAAATCTTAAGTTCCACCATTCTTTGCTTTAATAAAGATGCCAAAAAACCATAAATCGGTTAATCTGTTCCTGCCGAAAAACGCCATTTAAAAACATAACCAACACTCACATAAATAGGTTCGGGCCACCTTAAGAGTTAAACTGCTGAAAATCTGTCAAAACAATGCATTAGACCAGAATGCTTCAAAGTGATTACGTGTATTAGGGACTGTTTAGAAGGACAGAGGGTAACCCTTGTGCTAGGGTTACGCTAGCAAGTTAGATGTGGTTTAAAAGCAAGTTCCACTGTCTGGTAGGGTTACCCTGTCACCCGGTTCAACTTTACCATCTTTAATGACGCGTTTCTATTTCGTCACTCGTGACAATCTTTGTAACGTCCAAGATTTGAAATAAAACTTGAAGTTCTCTATGGGAAACACGTTAAATTCACGAAAAAAGAAAAAAAAAACGTGAATATATTATCATCGTATGCCGAAAATACTTCAGATGTTTATTTTAGCTCAGAAATTGGATAATTCCGTTCAAATTGTCAGAAGATTACTGGTCACGCATGACGGAGTAAAGTTGTCCCGCGCAGGCGAGTTATCCCTAGCAGGAGCGTTTACGAGGTAGGTAGGGAAACCCTCTTGCTAGGGTAACCCCAGCATTCAGGTAGGGTTACCCTTGCGCTAGGGTAACCCTACCTGCCTTGTAAACACGTCGTGTAAAAGAAGAAGAAATATGCGAGTGCTAGGGCAACCCTCTTGCTAGGGTAACCCTAGCACCAGGGTTACCCTCCCTCATTGTAAACAGGGCCTTAGACATCAAGTTAAAATTGGTTAAGCCTCAAGGTCGAACATAACGACAAAACCTACGAGCTGAAACCAAGGAAAGAGCGTGCTTAGCACATTTTTTACGAACAGAGACTCAAGAAACAGCAACAAGAAAGTGTAAAACCAACAACATCCTCAGAGACCCAGGAGCAACCCTTCCGAGAAGTTGTAAACTTTGGCTGCGACGATCTCACCTGTAACACGATTTAATGAGTATGGCCGGGTCTCTGAGGATAAAACAACAACATTAGCAACAACAAAGATGATCCAATGAGATCAAGCGCTCACCATCTCGAACGTTCCTCGCTTGTACCAGGTTTTAACAGAGAACCCTACGGAATCAAGCATTTTTTAAATATATTACAGTAAACTGTAAAGTAAGAAAAGAATTCATGCAGGCGATATCCTAAGGGCTTAGCATTACTTAAATAAGTTGTGTTTTAACTAAGAGCCAGGGCTAGGCCAAGCATCGAAAGTTTTCAAGAGACAAACCAAACTCTAACTTGGGTCGACCTAAATTAAGTTGAGATCGTCTGTTGGGTCAGACGTCGAACCTAGGACGCGTCGAACCAATTAACTAAACCAGATTAGTTATAAATATTCTCCCCAAAAAGGCTAAATAAGCTTTATCATACAAATTTTCAATTTATTAGTTTTGTTCGTCGCATGTGAAGATCGACGTTTGTCCCTGAGACGATCAGTTCGCACGTTCTGTCCGTGATCTCTACCCGTCTGAAGCAGACGGATAGAACGTGTCGGACGACCAAAACTCATTCAGACGAACTTAACTGAGCCAGAAGCATGTCGAGTTTTTCATGAACTTGACTCGCTAAGGCCTAGGCCAAACGACGAACTTTTCATGAGACGAAATAAACTTAGTGAGTTAAGTTCATTGAAACTTCGACTTCCGGCTCAGTTAAGTTCGTCTGAATGAGTTTGGATCGTCCAACACATTCTATCCGTCACGTCTGAAGATCGTCTCTGGGACAAATGTCGATCTTCCTTTGCGACGAACTAACATAATAAATTAAAAATTGTATGACAATGTATATTAAGCCTCGTTCGGGAGAAAATTTATTTCGGAGCTGATTCAGTTGATTGGTTTAACGTGTCCTAAGTTCGACTTCTAATCCAACAGACGACGTTAAGTTAATTTAAGTCAACCCAAATTAGAGTTTGGTGCGTCTCATGAAAAGTTCGACGTTTCTAGGCCTAAATTATGTTAAAGCGAGTTTCTCCGCCTTACGTTTTGGATGACATAAAGTTTGTCCTTTGAGGAATGACACCCTTAGAGTTAAAGACCCAAGGAAACATTAATGCGCTTTATCTTCAAGAACAGCCATGACTTTCGTAGGAACGTCATGCATATCTGAGACCAAACTACACTCTTTCAATAATGACCTGTCATTCTTAAGGAACGACCCGTACATTTTGAGCGGCGTTCTGCAATCGTTCGTTTTGGGCGGCGACCTGCGCTCTTTTCGGGACGACCCGCACGTTTTGGGCGGCGCTCTGTACTCTTTGAGAAATGTCTTGTACTGTTTGACGACTGGGCTGCGATTGGACACCCCTGATTCCTGTTGAATTTAAAAGTCGGACCCGCATTGCTTTAATCCTGTTAGTAATGATATTGCCTGCAGCTTGTTCTAGAGGTGGGGCCCTTCCCGCAGCTCTCAGTTGCTTCTGATACTCCGAGTACGGGTGAAGTTTTTCTCTAAAATAATTAATATAATCTATCTCATTTCTAAGCAGTTTTTGGCATAAATACTTGTTAAAGCGAGAGACTCCCTCGTTAAGCTTAAACCCTCGAATTTTTCCGGTTAATCGAAACGCAGTTTCCGTTACTTCTTCTGGTGAAACACAGTCATGGTACATTTCACGGTTCTTTCGCCTTAAATCCTCGAGGTCTTTGTAGAAACCACGTCCATGTTGTTTAATTTTCTCCCAGAAAGTTTTGTTAAAGTGATCGTAGAGTAGCACGTCCGCTTTATTCCATGCGCGTATCTTTTCTTTTAGCTGCAGAGAAAGAACCTTTTTGGAAGTATCTGTACCGACTTTCCGTTCATTTTGTTTAATGTAGATAACATCGTCTAAATCCCAGCAAAATTCTCGCTTGAGAAGAACAAGGCTTTCGTCGAAATACTCCATCATAAGAACCAAAGTAAATTCATGTTCGATTTTCTTTATGGCGTTGAGAATTTCCTCATCGTTGTCCTGTGCTAAAGGAGCCAGTCCTAAATCAAAGAACATTCCGTTTCGCACAAGATGCATTGATTCAGGGAACGGCGTTTCAGTTCTTGCTAAGTTTCTGAGGTAACCACGGGGATTTGTCAGAAAAACCTCCAAAGGGTTCGAGTAATTGGTCAGTCTAAGAAACCGATACAATTCCATGTAGTTAAACGTTGACTCAAATTGATATACTGGATCACGGAGTATTGTGATAAACTTGGTGTCACTGTGCAAGACTACGTCCATTAGCGGTCTCCTGTAACGTGCATGGTTGCACAGGACACTAGCAGGTTTGCCATTAAGACGCCACAAGTCGACGCTACTCCAGTGGAAATAGTTCGGCCAGCCGAAACGGTAAAGATGCCTCATCGGAAGTGCGATTATGAGCTCTCGGAGATCCGCATAACGGTTCAGAATGTTGGTAAGTGTACTACTTCCGGTTTTGTGTGTTTTGAGAAACGCGATGTGGTTATAAGGCTTGCAGCTGTTGAAAAAAAATAATAAATGACTGAAACTGATTTAAAGGAAATAATGCATAGAGAAAGATGAAATAAAATTTTTTCAGAGGACTGCCGAAATTTCAGAGCAGTCCGACAGTTTAGGATATGTAATCTAGACCTTATTATATAACTGGTCAACTATCACGTGCAATTCTTGTTACATTCCTCATGCTCTAAGCAAGTAGCCCATAGCAAAATTCTGGCATGACTCTGAGGCTTTCTGGTAATTTTTCTATATTTGGTTTGGCTTTCTTTGTGCTCGTCTCTTCTAGGAATTGCGAGACGATGGAGTCGTGAAAACTTTGCAATTTTGACCCTACAGCCTCGGAGTCATGTTAGAATTGTAATACCGTAAATCCTCTATTAAGCCCCCCGGGGGTTTATTTTTTTCAAGCACTTTTGAGGGGGGGCTTAAAAGAGAGGGGGCTTATTTAATTTAGCGAAACGCATCACCTGTAGCAAAAATACCGTGGTATGAGACGGAGTAGACTTACGCATTGTACAATTAAAGTCACCGTCAAAAGTATTTAATTCACTTGTGGGAGCCTAAAAGTAACAAAAACAAAATTCTTATCCTTCAAAAATGTGCTTTCGACCTCACGTTCTTCGGTAATTTTTATGAATAAACCATAACTGATCAGTCCACGTTAATCGTTAATTTTTTTGCGAAGAATAAGGATTGGAGGGGGGCTTGGAGGGGGGGCTTATTAACTTTCCTCCTCTGAAAAAAGGGGGGGCTATTAGAGAGGGGGGGGAGGGCTTAATAGTGGATTTACGGTATATAAAAGATGTGAGCAGGAACAATATCAAGGGGTTGGGGTAGGGGGTTAGAGCACATCCCTCTCCTCCCCTCTAGTTTTACCCCGCTCTCTGATTCCACTCTCTAAACGACTGGAACAGGCTACGAAATGTCAACCGAGCGACATCACAAACTGTTAATTACCGAGTTGCTACCACGTGACCACCTAACAGGTAATAGAGAGGTTAAGAGTCACCTTTACAAATCTCGTTCCCAGGTTCTGTCTCCTACCCGTCGCACGGTAAGGACGGGTAGGAGAGAACCCGGGGAACGGCAAACTTCAGATTCGAGTTAAGAATTTCTCAAAATAAAAAATAGGCAAAAATAAAAGCAGCTCAACAATTTTTATGGATAAAAATGACGTAAAAATTCTTAAACGTTTTGCAGAAGTAATGGGCAGTAAACAACAGGTGTTGAGAAAACTTGGTCACGTGATATAAATTCACGTTTGCCGTTTGCCGTAAACGTCACTCTAAATCTCTCTAATACAGTTGAACCTCGTGTAAGCGTCCACCAAAAATGAAACGATTTAGTGATCGCTTACACAAATCGAACTACTAGAGAGGGTCCATTCATAGAAAAGGTCCGGATCGACACACACGTACATTTTAGAGAAGAACGCATTGCGTGCAGTTTCTACTAACCTATCAAATGTGTAGTTTCATGTTGTCACAAAAAGGTCTTCGCATACCCTGACTAGTGTAGTACATACAACGAACAAAGTGATCGAACCATGTCTCAATTGGTCGCTTACGGGAGAATAAACCTCCGATGGAAAATTCTAAAACCGCCATCGAAAAAAAAGGTGATCGCGGTCGCTTACGAGGGGTTCCAAATTATAGTGATTAGACTGGGAAAATTCTGGTGTTTTGAATACAATGTAGTTGGTCGCTTACGACGAGTGGTCGCATAGAGAGGTACGTCTGTTTATCTAGGCGATTTTCTGAAGACGAACCTAGCGAAATGTGCAGTCACTGAAGCCAAAAAGCGTCAAAAGTCAGGTTTTTGCGCCCGAGAAGTTCGAATATAACAGAAACGAAGGAAAAGGACAGGAGAAAGAGAAAGAGCGATTAGGAAGAAAGGAGGAGAAGAGAACAAAGCAATGGGACTCTCTTAGTTCTTATAATGGATACTTTGGAGATAGTTTTTGACCAAAAAAATCTGTTGGACGGAAGAGGTCCATTTGGCAGTAACGTTTTCAAAAAATCCAGCTAGATTTAAACTCCGTTTATGATGAAATAAGTTTAAGTTTGCGCCTGATAAAGACCAGAATTTCTTTACCTTAATTCGTCATATTTAAGAATTCCTGTTTCTGTCGATGCCTCTTGGTTCGTGCCTTCTAACGACTCTTTGCTGTTTTCCTCATCCTGGTCATTTACGTTCCTCAATAATTCTTCAAACTCGCGATCAACGTTGCTGACATTTCTTAAATTCAGCTCTCCGTTCTGTGGCGCCAGGAGACCAGCAGGAACGGACTGTTTTCTTGACGAACCAACTGCCTTGATATTTGCTTCTTCGTTGCTACAAACAACAACAGCAACATAAAAACTGAAAATAGAAGCATTTTTTCTCTCCTCCACTCTCCCATCTCCTTCTTTCCCCCTAAGAAACCCTAAGGGCGAAGTTATTCAAACAAAGTTTAGCCAGTGTTTAACAAAACCAGGATCTAAGCCATTTTCAATTTGCCCAACGGTTTTACCTAAACACCATTAATTGTGAAAGTTTTATGAAGACATTATAGTGTAGACTAGAAAAGTATTTATCTTTTTAAAATAAGCCACTAAGGAAGAGATCTGGAGATCCAAAGATTTATCATAACGGCGGCTTAGGTTACATTTCGTTTAAATAACCGGTCCTAAGGATTGCTATTTCTACATTCCCCAATCTTCCTCTGTCATAAGACCAAAAACGACGGCGGCTAAAACGTTACAATACGAACATAAAAACGGGCAGCTTTCGCCCACCCAAAATACGGCTGCGCTGCAGGCCAAGCGTTTACAAGGCAGGTAGGGTAATTCTCTTGCTAAGGCAACCCTAGCACTGATGTAGCGCCATGGTAAAACTACCTTCCTTGTAAATACATCGCGTAGAAAAAGGAGAAATGTGCGAGTGCAGGGGTACACCGGATTTCAAGTGATGGAGATGATCAAAGGATTTTTTGTTTGTTTGAAATTTTCGATTCCCCGGGATTTTTTTGGATAGGAAAATTAGGAAAGTATTTTTTTGGGACGATTCGAAATAAATGAAGGACGGGATGAGACTAAAGCGCGGTAGAATACTTCGCTGGCTGCGTGGCCAACGTCACAAACAATGCCAGAGGTACAAGGTCGTTAGTAACTTTGAACGTAAGGGTTGCGTACAGTGAATTCTCTATTTGAACTGTGTATCATTATAAACAGGTTTTGAAGGCTAGTGATCAGAGTGGTGTCGTATGGTTCGTCTCAAGTGGTTGTAAGTTGAGGAGACACTGTCCAGAATGCGTCGGGAGAGTAAAAAGAACTTTTTGTTTTACAGGTGCAATAGATGTTCTACAGGGCGCAGTTTTTCGAAGGCCGGTCAGCGCTTAATCCGGGTCTCTTTTTCTTTTGTTCAAAAACGTTTCTTTGGGTAATTTTCTCTGTTATTTTTAACAGCGTCCAACCATCAACTTGTTGACAAAATGAAGCTTTCACATCTGAATTCAAATTTCGCACTAACCCTCGCCTGGATTATCTTAACCAAGCTTTGAACAACCCGGTCCACGTGTTATTAAAAAGCAAACAGTTGACAAAGTTTTAGATGTAATCATTAACTTTGTTTATTGGGAATTCCACATGTAGACAATAACTGAAATTTACTATAAAACTCTAGGAGTAATTGGAGCTTAGAAGAGTGCGTTCGATATGTTTGTAAGGCGTACAGGTAGGAGTTGAGGAGGAAGGGCGGATGATTATTGCGATGGATTAAGCTCAGTTTCCATATGATCGCTACGATCGCTGTGATCGGTGTCGGATCGCTGAGAAAAAAAGTTCAGCTATCATATGGAAACCACTCTCCAGCGAGTGCCGAGTGTGTTGATTTCAGTGACTTGAGTGGAGCTACTGTAGGCTGTTTATAAGTTTTTCTGAATAAATAACATAGAGCTAAAATGTTCCTTTGTCCGGTGCCGAAAATATCACAAGTCTCGATGAAACGGCGCCTCCGAGCTTCACATCTCGGTAGATTTACTTTGTGGCACAACGGCCGCCGAGCTACACAACTATGTAGATTTACTTTGTGCCACAACGGCCGCCGAGCTACACAACTCGGTAGATTTACTTTGTGGTACAACGGCAGCCGAAACTTTTGAAAGATGAACGTTTTAAAGGATTCAGCAAAGACAGATCGATAGTAGACCTTCAGCAAACTCTTGAAATATGTACGCTTTACGAAGATTCAGCAAACTTTTAAAGATGAAGACAATAAAAGACCTCAGAAAACGCTTGAGGACGCACGAATCACTACGTCAGTTAGTTCTTCAAAGTGAGGCAAAACGTAAGCAAGCGCCTCAAAGCGAGGCAAATGTGTGTCGACGACGACGACAAATGCAATCTCGAAAAAAACCTCCCTTATTAATTGCACAGGGCACCCAATATTGCACAGAAAGCCCAACACAAATCTCGTACCTCGAACGCAATGAAACCGTTGCTGGCAAGTCTTCTTAACTTGTGATAATATAAGATCGACCCCAGACCACATTTTTTGTGGTGAACGCCGGGGTACAACGATTGTGTTTGAATACTGGTTCACCTACACTACCTCTCAATTTCATACGTTTCAAGGGAATCATCAAGGCCTTCAGTTGGAATGAGTGTGCGGCTCACGTCAATAACTTTTCCAAGCTGAATAAACTTTCATCTTTGCAAAGTTTTCTGCGATCTGAAAGTCATTGTTTTGAAATCATATTTGAAATGGTGAAAAGTTAACTCTGATAAAACTGAGTTCCGTTTTAAAGGTAAGAATAAAATATTGAAACTTATACTGCAATATAGGCTCTGACACATGTTAAATCATTGAATGCTTTCTGGAAAATTTGAAGGTTCGGAAATTCGGCATGGGATTTTTTGGGGGTCAATTTTTTGCCCAGGGAATTTTTGGGTTTTGTTGGAAGCCTTACGCCCCCCCCTTATTCGATCACCCCCTCACTTGAAATCCGGAGTACCCCCTGTGATCTTTGGGCAAAATATCAGGATCCTCGATTCTCAATACTCAATAAAGATCCCTAAAGAGCTTATTTGTCATTTTGCTGCTCGGTAAAAGGGCCTCGCCAAAGGACAGTCTCCTGCCCCATATGATATAAAATCCTTTTATGGGTCAACAGCCACCATTCCGCGACGCCGCCACTGTGTTACCACCATGCCATTTGTTCATTTCACGGGTCGCGAAATGATGGCAAAAATATTTTCAGGCTAGGGGTTTAAATCATAAACCTTCCAAGCACGCTTCGTTATAACGAGGCTTTAAAATATAGTAAACTGATTTACCATCATCATGCAGTCACAAAACTGAGGAAATCTGTAAATGAAAACTTTACTAAGAATTGAGTCTAGATCGGGCGAGTTGTTGACGACAGTGGCATTTAAAAAATATAACCCAAATACATCACAGGGGGATATCAGCTCAAAGACATAACCAATCAAATCGCTCCTGATGAGCTGTAGTTCCTTCATGAAAAACAAACAACAAACCCGTTTGAAAAATAAAGCTGCCTGAAAATGTTCATAGTGATCGATGTTTGCCTGGGTTGCACTCGGCGTTGCTGATTGTGGTTACGAATACCAACACTGTGGCTTTTGATTTTTGTGACCTAGGATTCGATGGCGTGGCGAATCGGCTTTTAATGCCGCTACACACCGTAACAATTGAAATCAGCAAAGAGTGAACAAGTTCACAAGCGGCTTTCACTCACC